TTACTTCTACTAAGTAATTTCGTTTATGAACAAAGCTTTTACTATTATTTTGGCACTTAGAGAAATGTTACGTTTATCGGTTTTCTTTTAAATAATTTTGGTTGATTGTTTCGAATATATACAAATTTCAATATATATCTGCAAACATTTCAGATGATGAACTATCCGAGCATATCTCTTCCCCAACAATTATTATGTTTACAAGGCAACGTACACAATTTCTGTAAGTTCAGTGACTCAATCAGGGAGAAGCCGTCTCTCTTCAGTCAAATATTTTACTTTGAAGCAACTGTTTTTACTGATCGGATCATGTTCAAATATCTGTTACATTATTGTTATGGCTAGTTTGGTTCACCTTAACATCCATAGCCATACAGAAATGTATTTTAAATAATATTTTCACAGAAACATTGATAAAGAATTCTTACTCGGCTACTGACAGACAAACTTACAACACACGGTCTCCGATAATGCAGGTTGATGGTGACGATGAACAAGGTCTATGGTCACCATCCATTACTTGGATTTTACCTTGATTTACATGGTGGGTGTTATCGATGAATAAATAGATGTTTACCCTCCGGAACACTTTTTCTTATTTTGCTAATAGTTTTTAAAGGGCTTTCTTGTAAATCTGAAATTTGTTCTTATTTCCCTGTAGTCTTATCGGTTAATCACTCGAATGATGGTTTTTTTTGACAATTCGATTTTTATCATTATTTATTGATTAATTTATTATTGTTTTAACCATCCTAGATTCCGAAAAAAACATGCAATGCCTTTACCGCAACGCAAAAGGCTATCAAAATTTAAATATATGAATAAGAAAAGTGTATGGAATGTGACTAGTCTAACAGCACAACTGTACATGTGTGATTAAGGAGTAGGAAGAGGTCATCTACATGATCATTATAGAATAGAATCTGAATCAGTATTAGATGAAACTTATTTATGCTACGATGTTATGTTTCTTTTTGTTTTTGTTTTTATTTATTAATTTATGAAATTGCAAGCTGGTTAAGAAGTGAAATTATCCTAATAATGACGCAACATGACGTTTTGTCTTGACCATTGTCTATCTGTGCCTGAACCTATAGTTGTTAATATTGGTTACGATATAAGGTACCATATTTACATTAGTTTATCTACACTTGCTTCTAACTCCTATTCAGTTATGTTCATTCATGTTTGTATTATGCATTATATATGTTTTGTGCATAAAGCAAAGTTTCAACTTCTGTGAGAAAAACGTCACCGTGGACTAGCTGAGAACGAGTACATTGTATTTCCATTTACGGAGCACATTGTATAATCTATGTCAAATATGAAATAGAAAGAATTACAGTCCATCGCAGGCAATTACAACGTCAAAGAAAAGTATACTGTAAAAGCATATATTTTCGTTTGGGTTAAATTTCGTTGTTTTTGTTTGGGGACAAATTCGTTGGGATTATAATTCGTGAAATCAATATTTTAAAACCCTTTTTTTTTTTTTTTTTTTTTTTTTTTTTGTAAATAGAAAGTTAAAATTGACAGGCATCACGACTTATAATAGGTCCGGCTAACTGTACATCGCCCGAGGTGATAACCTATCCACTCCAGGTGAATTTTTCACACCTCGCTTCACCCCAGTCAGTGGAAAACAATAGATCGACCATCGCTCGATGGTCATATAATTAAGTCTAAACAAACATGTGTGGTAGTTAATATAGCTATCTAAAATGGAAATATTTAGGCCTACCGACATTTTATAACACAAATTCTGATAGGAAAAAGAGCATGCATTTAATAAATATTCACGGTTACCTTGACACATCATGTGGGAAAATCATGCCGAGTTCAATGAAAATATTACTCCAGAAGGAAGACGCGTTTTCAATCATTTAAGCAATAGTTTTTCTATTGCATTAGATGTTGATTTCCCCGTGTCTCAGTTGAAAAAGTGTCAAAATCGGGGCATATCGTCCTGACAGCATGGTGCCGGAAATTGATCTAAAGTCAACTTTATTGTCGTAAACAACTGACGACGACTGCTTTGAATAGAATATTTGATTAATGTTAAAAAGGAAATGTTTTGTGTGTGTTTTTGTTTTTGTTATTGTTTACTTTCTAATTACCTGTACCCCGCACGACTTGCGAGGTACAGGTAATTAGACCGGGAGATTAACTCACTCGATGGGTATCGGTCAAACCCGTCATGATCTATCTATAGTTTACATACACATATAAGGCTTGATTGACACGCTATTGTTATAAGTGTTTAACTCTGTTCCTGTGACGATGTGTACACCGTTTATCATGACTTGTGTCTAAATGTAAATACAGCATGGATTTATAATTAAATTAATAGTTTATTTCATATTTTCGTTAAGTCAATCAATCAATCAATATTTTATCATAGTGTCACGCATCATTATACTCACAAACAATCATTCATAAAATATCATATACAGCGAGTTTATCAAAGATGCCCAGCCGATATCGGCTTATGAGACACTTGTAACTATGTATATGTACATCATGTGTAAAATAAAAGTGAAGACCTAGCATATATGCATATAAAATATCCTCATAGAATATTGCATGTAAACCTGATAGAATAGTAGAATCACATATCTTTCTTCATCACATTACAGTTAAATCAATATTGCGATACGTTAAAATTTACGATTGTATATTTACATATTTAAAAGCGACCGCCTCCGTCTCATCATATAATAAATTGTTTTAGAAAGTGAAAATTGAAGCGCATTATCCTGCAATAAATAAAACAACTTTTCATTTTCGTTGAAGTAAGTTCATTAAAATAACTAAAGGAGTTCACTGCGCTTTTGAATAGATCATATCTGATATCACTATACAAAGGAGCGTCACAAAGGAAATGAGACTCATCTTCAACTATATTTAAGCAAAAAGGGCATTTCCTTTGCTCTACTGGCAAGTTACTGTAGCGTCAAGTTTACAACATTAAGGGGAGACAACCGAGTCTGAGTAACGCGAGGTGGCTCCGATAGTGACGTTATATAATGTTCCATTACTTTGTCATTTTTATATCTTCTATATGTTCTTAGTTAACTGCTTGGAATGTTGTCGTTCCATAATTTCGAGAACCAAATAGTTTTGTCATTCCTGTTAATGGAACCGGTAATTATACGTAGTTTGGTTTTAACAGATACGCGAGTGTTAAGTATATTTGGTGCCTTAAGTTTGTTTCCTAAATTGCGGACACGCGCTTCCCACGAGTTCCTTCTCCTAGATGACCAGATATACACCTTATGTAGATGCCTATCTGTATCCACATTTCGTAGTCTACAGTAAAGTCTAAAAACCTCTGTGTGTTGTTTTGCCCGTATATGTATTCACTCCAAGATACGCTTTTATTGCTCGGTTTTGAATGTTGTTGATTAAGCGTTGTCCCGCTTTACCCAAAATACAAGAGCCGTATAACATAATTGGTTGTACTAATGACTCAAAAAGACTGGTATATACGGTGTGTGACATTCCTCCACTGGCGATACATTTACTAATTAAAACTCCAAGTGCACGACTGGCTGATTTCGCTAATTCCTGCACAGCAAAATTCCATGTAAGATGTTGATCAAACCAGATCCCAAGGTATTTATATTTATCTCTGATGACAATCGGAGTGTTGTCCAAAGAGAAGAATGACGGAAGTGAATTACGTTTGACTTACTGTGGTTCACCGATAATTTCCATTTTTTAAATCATGATCCAACATGATCAATTTGACCCTGCAGTTTATCTGGAGTTAAAGTTAAGAGTACAATATTGTCAGCATAGAAGAGCGGAGAAATATTAAAATCATCAACATTGATTCCCCTGTCTAAATCACGAACTTCTTTTATTAGATCATTGATGAATATAGAAAGAAGTGTTGGTCAAGACAAACAGCCCTGTTTTAATCCCCTTCCGACGCTGAACCAATCATTGAAGATCATTTACTTTAATACAGCATTTTACGTCAGCATACAGGGACTTGATAGCCTTAATCATAAAACCGTTCACTCCAAAACGTTTCAGTTTTATTCATAGAAGATCACGATCTACCGTATCGAACGCTTTTTTCAAGTTTATATGTTTATATGTTTAGTTTATATTACGTGTACATCCGACTCAATATATCCAAGGAATCAGTCTTCGGATGAAGAACCACTATTATCTACCACATGAACATCTTTACCTTTTTTAAATGTTCGCTTTGTTGAGTTTGTTTTGGTTCGACACTTTTTTTCAAAGTGATTTACTTTTACAAGAATGTCGGCATTTTTCACCATTTGCAGGATATTTATTGAGGTCAAAGGGGTACGCATAGCCACATATACCATATCTTGAGTTTTCAGATTTTCTCAGTGGATGTTTGTAAGACATTTTTTGTGTTTTTGTTGGACAGCCTTTACCTTGACATCTTCATCGGCCGAATTTGACATTGCTTTTTCTTGTACAGAAGAGAGTTCATGCAGGCAAGTAATGTCAGTTCTGTGCCAACGTCAATCAGTTTTCCCTTATTTTGTGGCTAATTTTACGCCTATCACAATTCGGTCACGAATCATCTTTTCCTGGAGATCAGCGTAGTTACGATCTCTCACCAGCAGTTTAAGATCAGTTACAAACTGATCAAATGTTTCTGAGTAAGATTGTATCCTTGTGTGAATTTGTAGTGGTTGTAATTGTTTTGGCCCTTTTACCGTTCCGTATCATTAGGTATGCGCATTTGTCACTTTCGTCTTTCGATTTGAGGGGTCCAGAGATTATGAATTGGACGTGATTTCTGAAGGCCTTTCAATCGCCCCGAGATCGTAATTTTCCAAGTTCATTCTCGGCATAGCGCTGACCAGCGTTTCCATTATGTTTCTTACCCGTTTACCGTCCTTTCTACAGATTTTACAGGTATATTCATTAGTCCATCCCACTTCTAAAAACCATGTCGTGTTCTGTATACAAAGAACTCCCAACATGGCTTACATTTTATAAATCACGTTTATTAATTTTCGTCTCATAGAGATTTTACATGCATGACCTACGTGGATGAGATTCAGAGTAGATACTATAGGGCGATACTAAACACCTGCCTATAAATATCCGCACCTCCTACGACTACACCACCTCCTATTTATTTCCATATTGCAGTGAGTCATGCAATGTTAACGTCAGGTACTCAATACTTTAAAACAGTCTGCCGTCGACGGAGTATCTTTTAGACGATGATTATAGATCAGATCTGCCTGGTTGTTGATTGTGGCAAACCCTTCAAGAATGGCTCAACACAGGAATAAAAGTTCAAAAGGAAATTTATTTGTCGACAATTTAAAATTCAAGTGACATGTAATACAATACAAAAATACACTCTCCAAAGCAGCCCGAGAGGTCACCGGAACGAGTGTCTATATGTTGAGATGAGTTGTCTCCCTTTGACTAATTGACAATGAATATAAGCAGATTCTTTGAATTTAGTACGATTGTTTTGATTAAATGAGATGTAGTATTACCTCTTTGATTTCTACAAATATTAATAGCTATAGAACAAATTAATGAAAATTGCATTTCTCATAAGAATGTCTATTAAAAGGCCCTTATACCGAATATTACCGAATGTATTGTATACTAAACGGTATATATATTTTACATTATTGCGATTTTCACGATCACGGCTGAAAGTAAGTACTTGAAAATGAAATGACCGATTGCAAAATCAGTACATATAACAGAAAAATATTAATATCTTTTGTTAATTGTTAATCGTTACATTAAGGTATCACAATTATCACAAACTCAAAAGTAAAAATTGTAAAACGAACAAATGTCACATATATCGCAGTGACCTACATAAGTAGTGTTTGACCTCAAACATCACACAAATGTTGCTTAATGGCGAAGTCCATGAAAGGTCTACGGACGTCAGCACGAATGAAGGAATGGACCAATGGAAATGCTAATAATATATGTCCTTTTACTCTGCTGTTATGACATTAAAAATACAATAAATCTCAATCAAAATCACAGTAGGTTAAATAAACTGATTGATCTGTATACATATTAAAACAATGAGGCAGCCATGTCGTTAACTAAAACATATTAACAGAGATGGTCACGATGATGAGTTTACCAAAATAGATATCCATTTGAGCATATGTGTGAAGCAGTAACAGGTATTTGTACATAATCTATTTGTATATATTCACGCAGATAAGCAATGAAATTGCTTATCATGAACTATTTGAATAAGTTTACATTTGTTGGTACAGAGTTAATGAATTAATGAATTATCAGCAAATCATAAGCTTCAAAATACGAACAAATTATGTCCTTAAATTCTGAAATTTTAATGGGAAATTCCTTCATGAGCATCTTGAGCACGTACACGATTATTCTGATATGAATATTTACGGATAATATCGACGCTTAATATGAAAACAACGTTTGTACTGGCAGAAGTGAATTCTAAGAAAAACACCTTTTTTAGTCACAATTTCAGATGATAGTGGTATTATTCCGTGAACTCGTTATTTAACAATTGAATTCCAGGAAATGTTCAAAGTCAGTAAAAAACTGTGTTAATGTTAAATACCATGTACATCAATCAATCAGAAGTTATACAAATCATTGGAAAAAAACATGGATTGATTTAATCTATTTAAGTGAAATACAACCTCTTAAATCATAACTCAAATTAAACAAAAATCAAAATGATATATTACGTAAGTTCAATAATCCAGACAAACTTTAAAGACAAACAAGATACATACTCAAATTTCCATGGAAAAATCCTTCTTGAGCATCTTGACCCACCATCTTGGATTGCTAAGCAAGACATCTGTTACTGTTAATTCTTCGAAAATCTACGTTGTCAGTAAATGACCAATAACATTTTGCTTACACCTGAAGTTAGTAGACTCTTTGATCTTTGAACCTCAAAAGACCGCCAATTGCAGGTCCCATAGTTCATACATGTATATGCTATTTGAATGAAGGTCCCATAGTTCTTACATGCTATTTCAATGAAGGTCCTATAGTTCATACATGCTATTTGAATGAAGGTCCCATATTTCATACATGCTATTTTAATGAAGGTCAAACAGTTCATACATGCTATTCGAATGAAGGTCCCTTAGTTCATACGTGCTATTTGAAAGGAGGCCCATAGTTCAAACGTGCTATTTGAATGAAGGTCCCATAGTTCATACATGCTATTTGAATGAAGGTCCCATAGTTCATACATGCTATTTAAATGAAGGTCCCATTGTTCATAAATGCTAATTGAATGAAGGTCAAATAGTTCATACATGCTATTTGAATGAAGGTCCCATAGTTCATACGTGCTATTTAAATGAAGGTCCCATTGTTCATACATGCTATTTGAATGAAGGTCCCATAGTTCATACATGCTATTTAAATAAATGTCCCATTGTTCATACATGCTAATTGAATGAAGGTCCCATGGTTCATACGTGCTATTTAAATGAAGGTCCCATACTTCATACATGCTATTTAAATGAAGATCCCATAGTTCATGAATGCTTTTTGAATGAATGTCCCCAAAGTTAAAACATGCTATTTGAATGAAGGTCGCATAGTTCATACATGCTATTTAAATGAAGGTCCCATTGTTCATACATGCTATTTGAATTAATGTCCCATAGTTCATATATGCTATTTGAATGAAGGTCCCATAGTTCATACGTGCTATTTGAACGAAGGTCCCATAGTTCATACATGCTATTTTAAAAGGAAGGTCCCATAGTTCATACGTACGGTATCATAGTTCATTCATGCTATTTTTATGAAGGTCAAATAGTTCATACATGCTATTTGAATGAAGGTCCCATAGTAATACATGCTAATTGAATGAAGATCCCATAGTTCATACGTGCTAATTGAATGAAGGCCCATAGTTCAAACGTGCTATTTGAATAAAGGTCCCATAGTTCATACATGCTATTTGAATGAAGGTCCAATAGTTCATACGTACGGTATCATAGTTCATTCATGCTATTTGAATGAAGGTCAAATAGTTCATACATGCTATTTGAATGAAAGTCCCTTGGTTCATACATGCTAATTGAATAAAGGTCCATAGTTCATTCATGCTATTTGAATGAAGGCTCATAGTTCAAACGTGCTATTTGAATGAAGGTCCCATATTTCACACATGCTATTTGAATGAAGGTCCAATAGTTCATACGTACGGTATCATAGTTCATTCATGCTATTTGAATGAATGTCCTATAGTTCGTACATCCTATTTAAATGAAGGTCCCATAGTTCATACATGCTATTTGAATGAAGGTCCCATAGTTCATACGTACGGTATCATAGTTCATTCATGCTATTTTTATGAAGGTCAAATAGTTCATACATGCTATTTGAATGAAGGTCCCATAGTTCATACATGATATTTTAATGAAGGTCTCATAGTTCATACGTACGGTATCATAGTTCATTCATGCTATTTGAATGAATGTCCTATAGTTCGTACATCCTATTTAAATGAAGGTCCCATAGTTCATACATGCTATTTGAATGAAGGTCCCATAGTTCATACGTACGGTATCATAGTTCATTCATGCTATTTTTATGAAGGTCAAATAGTTCATACATGCTATTTGAATGAAGGTCCCATAGTTCATACATGATATTTTAATGAAGGTCTCATAGTTCATACGTACTGTATCATAGTTCATTCATGCTATTTGAATGAATGTCCTATAGTTCGTACATCCTATTTAAATGAAGGTCCCATAGTTCATACATGCTATTTGAATGAAGGTCCCATAGTTCATACGTACGGTATCATAGTTCATTCATGCTATTTTTATGAAGGTCAAATAGTTCATACATGCTATTTGAATGAAGGTCCCATAGTTCATACATGATATTTTAATGAAGGTCTCATAGTTCATACGTGCTAGTTGAATGAAGGTCCCATAGTTCATACGTGCTATTTGAATGAAGGTCCCATAGTTCATACATGCTATTTGAATGAAGGTCCCATAGATAATATATGCTATTTGAATGAAGATCCCATAGTTCATACATGCTATTTAAATGAAGGTCCCATTGTTAATATATGCTATTTGAATAAATGTCCCATAGTTCATGCATGCTATTTGAATGAATGTCCCCAAAGTTAAAACATGCTATTTGAATGAAGGTCCCATGGTTCATACATGCTATTTAAATGAAGGTCCCATTGTTCATATATGCTATTTGAATGAGGGTCCCACAGTTCATACATGCTATTTAAATGAAGGTCCCATTGTTAATATATGCTATTTGAATAAATGTCCCATAGTTCATGCATGCTATTTGAATGAATGTCCCCAAAGTTAAAACATGCTCTTTGAATGAAGGTCCCATGGTTCATACATGCTATTTAAATGAAGGTCCCATTGTTCATATATGCTATTTGAATGAGGGTCCCACAGTTCATACATGCTATTTAAATGAAGGTCCCATTGTTAATATATGCTATTTGAATAAATGTCCCATAGTTCATGCATGCTATTTGAATGAATGTCCCCAAAGTTAAAACATGCTCTTTGAATGAAGGTCCCATGGTTCATACATGCTATTTAAATGAAGGTCCCATTGTTCATATATGCTATTTGAATGAGGGTCCCACAGTTCATACATGCTATTT